GCTGTATGCTCACCAATGACGTCGCCTTCACCCGCTAATTCTGTTGGTTCTCCTATAAATCGCAATTTTGACCGCAATAATTTTAGTAATGGGTTCGATGATACCAATAACCTATTTGGTCAGTCCTATAAGCCTTCTCATATGGACAATTTTTCGCCGTATGGCGAGTCACCGAGCAATCTTTCTGTTTTTTCTCAAGGTCCTGCTGAAACTAAATTCTTCGATCAAGGCGACCCAAATCAAAGTGAAGTCTGTAGCATTAGCGCACCCACCGGAGTGAGTGCTTTTGAGTTCAGACAACCCCAAAACAATTTCGTTACTCAGCCTCAGTCATTACCTGCTGGATATGTGGGTGGTGATTGTTTTCCCCAATATCCACAAAGTCTACAATATTTTTCTGACATAGCAACGGGGACAGGAGTAAGGGTATATCAACAACATTTCATAGATGCTGAAGATTCTGCTGATAGTGCTCAAAAACAGTATGCATTTTTTAAATGGATAATTTTTAGTTTTTCATAAATGCTATAATAAACTTATTAACAACCTTTCGTTTATTTTTGTTTCAGAGCGATTTTAATCGAAAAGAGACGTCGTCGTAGAGAATCACATAATGCTGGTGAGCTAGATTATTTTTATATTTTCATCTTAAGTTTCCCTTTATTTTTTACGTTAATCTTGACTTTTTTATTTTCAGTTGAACGCCGTCGAAGGGACAATATAAATGAAAAAATTCAGGAAATATCAACTCTTATACCAGATATTTTTATTGATTCTTCTAACAAACCAAACAAAGGCGTGATCCTCCGTAAAGCCGTAGAATACATCAAACATCTTCAGCAGCTAGTGGGTGAACAACGTGCTCACAATTTAGTGTTGGAAAATACAGTAAGGGATATGAAATCCGGGATACCCATCGAAAATAATTCAGAAATGAACGCATCACCACAAAGTAGCGGTATTGGTGCTTCTTCTCAAGCTTCTTCTTTGGGTAGTAATAATAATAATAATATAACTTCATAATCTTCTGGATCTCTATCAGTAAATAATGGTCCTTTCTGCATGTGAATAAAAGAGATGTGTGTTGTTATTGACAAGATTATGATTTATATTCCTTATTTTTTATTATCTCTCCATTCTATTCACCAATACTCCATTTATGTGTATTTATCTAATTATTATTTTTTTTTTTTTATTGCCGGTATTTTTTATTTGGCTTATTTTTTTTTTTTTTTTTTTTGTATTAAAAACATGTTAATAATTGATATATGTCGCTAAAGAATCGCTAGGACAATAATTTAAAGTAGTTAAGCTTTGGAGTTAAGAGAACCAAAATTGCTGTGCAGTTGAATGGTTTACTAAATGGTTGGGTATCTCGTGAAAAGGTTTTTCTTAACCCAATTGTGTTTAAGTTGTATAGTTTAATCCTTTAAATGTTCTGATTGCATTTAACACAATTAACAGTGAGGACCTATTCACGACATTTTTGTTTTATTTTATATATAGTTTTTTTTTTTTTTTTTACCATACTCTACATCCATTGTATATTGAATATGATGACACAATTTTTTCTTTATATATTTTTAAAGAACACTTCACTTTTTATATGTACTTATGTTTTTTTTTTTTAACTTTCTTTTATTTATTCTTTTTTTCATGTGTATAGCATGATATTTGAATATAAATATATATATATACATAAGGTTTTTATTTTTAATACGCTTTTTTTTTTTTTTTTTGGAAATCAATGATTTTCTTAAATACTAGATACTACTAGATTTGAATAACATTAACCCTATTTACGCATTTAATAATATTCCTTTTTTTTTTCTTTTTTTTTTTTTTTTTTTTGTTGTTGATTTCTTACTCAGAAAATAATGAAAAAAAAATTCATAGCGTGTATATATGTATATATGCGTGCGCACTCTAGGTTTCAGATTATTTACATCTTAATCCTGAATAAAGGCTTTAGGTCACGATTTCAGACAAACATCATGATTAATTTAATTTTGAAAAGTTTATACTTTTATGTAAAGTAACGTATGACTATAACATTTCAATAGATTTTAAGAATTTATTGGTCATGATAATGTCAAAGTTTTAAACTAATTCGTGTCCTTTAGCTAATTCTGAAATATATTATCCAATGATAACCCTGCTGATGCCATTACAAACCCAAGGAATGGCGGGGAAGGCTTTAAAGGTCGACTAAGATATTCGGGATGATATTGTGTACCAACGAAAAATGGGTGACCTGATAAAAATATAAAATGTTAAACATTGAATCCACGCTTTTATGAAATTTATAAAGCTACCTTTTAATTCCATAATTTCCATTCTTTTGCCGGTCTCATCACGACCTACAAAGTGCATTCCTTTTTTTTCTAAAGCCGATATATATTCTGGGTTCACTTCATATCTATGTCTATGACGTTCATCAATGTATTTTGTACCAACAGCAATGAAATTGGAGGCCTCGTAAAGCTTGCCTTAATAAAATTTATTGTTAATACAATTATTTAATAATATTATTCTGCAAAAAAATATATTATTCACATACGTGTTATTGACCATTCTTCCGTACCGTCTTGGAATATAGTGGATCGCATGCCTAATCTCATAGTTCCTCCAAGATGAATAAGGGACACTTCAGGCATATTGATTACAATCTTATGCGTAGCATATGGTTCGAATTCTTCTGAGTTCGCATCTTTGATATATTAATTAAAACATCACGTGTTCTATAAATAGTGTATAAGTGCAAGTGCATCAAGATTATAATAATTTACCTGAAAATCCACAAGCATTACGTGCAAATTCAATCACTGCTATCTGTAGTCCAAGACATATACCTAGAATGTATAAAACAAATCATCCCTGTGTGAACTTTACAAAAAGTTTGTAGCCAAGATGTTACCAGTTATTTATTATAGTACCTAAATACGGAATCTTTTTTTCTCGTGCCCATTTTGCTGCAGCAATTTTACCCTCCGTTCCCCGATTCCCAAATCCTCCAGGAACTAAAATACCATTAGCAGAAGACAAGAGATTCCAAGCTTCGCGATACTTTTCAGGATTTATCTTTTCATACTTATGTTCTAATTCGGATGCTTCTACCCACTAATGTTTAGAAAATGCATCATTAATACGAACAATTACATAAACAAAATATTTAACCGATCTGGCCTACCTTTAGTATTAGTTTTCGCTCACATTTTAAACCAGAATGTTCTAATGCCTTAATTACGGAAAGATACGAATCTTGAAGATTAGTATATTTGCCTACTAACACGATCGTGACAGATTTATTAAGGCGGTCGTGACTATATATAAATGTTAAATCCTTTTATTAGCAACATATTCAAACTACATCAATGGTATCATAATTTTATAACAAAACATACTCTTCTGTTAGTTTTGTCCATTCTTTTAATATGCATTCGCCCTTGATTCGCTGTTCTGTGGAAATGTGCATGCTATTCAGATCAAGCCTTTTACGAAAGAAACTCAATACGCCTTGTTCTTTCAACAAAAGAGGTACATGATAGGTTGAAAGAACATCTCTAACTGAGATAACCTAATCAATTATAACTAAATAAGTAATATGTTGATAACAGATGAACTACGCTAATCTTGGTAAGCTTACTTGTTCTTTTCCAACATGACAAAACATAGATATCTTTCCACGTACTTCAGGTTCTAATGGCTTACAGCAACGACATGCAATCTGTAAATTAATATGACGTTTTAATTGATATTTTATTCGAGATAACATTCTTGAATCATTGCGCCGTTACCAACCAAGTCCGGAGATAAACCCAAAGCCCTCAATTCTCTGATGGTGGTCTGAGTAGGTTTGGTCTTTTGTTCTCCGACTGGTCCGATGATAGGTACCAACGAAACATGTGCCAAAGCAAAATTTTCATGTCCCACTCGAAATTGAAATTGACGCATGGCTTCTATAAATGGTGCGGATTCTATGTCACCAACGGTACCACCAAGCTACAAAATATCCATTAGACATATAGTTATTTATGAACATTTATTGAAATGAATTAAACTAATGTATGAAACATTTAATTTACTTCGATGATGCAAACATCGGGTTTTTCACCGCTGTGATCGACTGATATCATAGCTACACGTTCAATCCATTCTTGAATTGCATCAGTAATATGCGGAACCTAGCATATAATGAGCGATATAAACGACATCAATTTTTATCGTGTGTTTACATTTCCCGAATCATTGTACTTTACCACTTGAACTGTTTTGCCCAAATATTCCCCTTTACGCTATTATATTATAATGGAAACTCGTGACATCAATTCTATCATATCTTCTTAATAATATATTACGATTTTGAATATTATCAAACCTCCTTCTGGATAACTTGTTGATAAATTTTTCCTGTGGTAATATTATTATCTTTGGTAAGAGTTACGTCCAGAAAACGTTCATAGTTGCCTAAATCAAGATCAACTTCTCCACCATCATTTAATACAAAAACCTCCCCTATTAAAGAATATTCGACTATTAAAATACTTTAAAAGTAATCTCATGATATTGAAAACCTTATAATATTATAACAAACCATGTTCGATAGGACTCATAGTCCCTGCATCGATATTCATATAAGGATCTATTTTTATAGCAGTCACTCTTAACCCAAGGGTTTTTAACAAAACTCCTAAGGAAGAGGCAAATATGCCTTTTCCTATACCAGAAATAACACCACCAGATACTAATATATATTTCATATTATGATAAGGCATTAAGTTTAAGAAACTTTTATTTTCGACTTTGCGGCCCAATTTGTCGTCAAGACAATTGGGAAAGAAAATCGTTTTGTGATGTAAAGTAGATTAAATATTTTTTTTTTTTTTTTGCCAATGGCACGCGAGCGCGTATCATTTCACGTGATCTGGAGTCATCACATGACGGCTCAGCACAAAGGTGTGAGTACAATTTTTTTCGATGATCATCAACAAAACAAACAAATTCAACAGGTTTGTACTTTAATTTAAATATGAACTTTTAGCCGGAATAGACGCTAAATTGATCTCCGTGATTTAGA